AACGTCCGTGTTTCTGAAGATCTGGTAGGAAGAAAGGGTCCCCTCTTCCTGGGGTGAGTCAATCATTGCTCTAATCGTCAAGATATGCTCTTACACTTCGTGCACCAACTACAGGGCATCGTCTGATATCTGTTGCCACCAAGCTACTAGCATCCATCATGCTCCGCAGGCTAACCCCCACTAGTGAGTAACACTACCGCGAGGAGCAGGCTGGTTAACGCCCGGTCGAGAATGCGTGGATCAAATTTTCATTCTTCGCCAACTGAGTAAGCATCGCCACCTCTACCGCAGACCCACTATCACCACTTTCCTGGATATTCGAGCTGAATTTCACTCAGTAGATTGAGGTGCTTTATGGAACCGCCTGCCGAACTATGGAGTTCCGGGGAAGTGCGTCGCTATACTTCGAGCGCTATATCTCCATATTTCAGGCCGAGAGCCTTTGGCGTGCTTCCCCACTCTTCCCTGTCACCAGTAGCCTACGACAAAGATGCCTAATGTCACCGTTTCTTTACAACTTTGCGATCGAAGATGTCCTTTTGGGAGCTTTAGAGGGCATGCAGAATTTCAGCACTGAGCTTCTTCTGGGTAATCGCTGCTGATAACGCCTTGCTGGGTGATGACCTTCATAGGATGCAATCGATTTTAACCGATTGTTGATTGAAGCGTCTGAGTTTGGTATATGCTTTCCCCTCTCCAATTACAAAGTTCTTTTACAGGACTGGCAGGCTCCCATTCCCATTGCACCATCGAAAGCACACAGCTCGAACAAGTAGATAGTTTTGTCTACCTAGGAAGCTGCGTTTCTGCTGACGTCACTGACGGAGCAAAGGTATCGCTTCGTATCGATAAATCCCGGTTGGCTATTACCAGCTTAAGACGGCTGTAGGGCCGTCGCGACATTTCACTCTTGCTAAATCGCAGGGTTTACAAAGCTTTGTACGTACACTATTGCTGTACGGATGTAAATCCTGGCCGATCCATGTGGAAGGCGTGCGTAGTCTTTCGATCTTTGGTAATAGCTGTTTGCGGAGGATTACCCACGTTTGTTGGCAACACCGACTGCGGAATGATGAGGTTAGACAACGCGTCTTGAGCAAGACGGATGTTCCACTTTATGATGACGTCCGGCTGCGTCAATTGAGGTGGTTTGGCAGCGTCCCGCGCATGTCTTACTAGGGTTTAGCACGCCGCGCCCTATTTGCGCACGCAGGACTACTTTAAAAAAGGCCGGGTGGATATCATTTGTCAACCTGGCGACAGCGCATGAGATTGCTGACATCATGCCTGGCCATCACTGGCGCCGTACGACTCCTCGGCTGGGACCCAAAGATGAAGAGTGCCAATAGCTCACAACGCTGGAAGCAATGGCGCAAATGCGGTCTCAATGGAGGCAGTGCACACAAGTCTGCCTGACCTTGCGTTTACAAAAACACTAACTCATTAAAACCGCAACACAAGTGCAAACGGCATAGGTAAAACGACAAAAAGTTTGTCGTTCCGTTTTTCCATTCATTAGCAACTCCTTCTACATCTTTTGCACAATTATTACTTGTTATTCCAAATTCTATGGTTTTAAATGATCCGATGTCTATTTTGTAGATTGTTGCCAACATATATGCATATCTAGTAGTGCATGCATTCAACGGAGGTCCAACGTACACTGGTGCCGTGAATCAGCATTGGCGTTGGCATTGGCTTTTACCGTATAGCAAAAGCTCGAGGTGCTTTTGCCAATCTCCGCCACCTGTGGCGCAGACGCGACATTACTCTCGCCCTCAAGGGCAGAGTTTACAACGCAGCCGTCCGTTCAACTCTCCTATATGGCTGTGAAACCTGGCCCATCAGGTCGACAGACATGAAGAGACTCGTCACGTTCGATCATCGCTGCCTTCGCAGCTTAGCTCATGTCTGGTGGGAACACCGCGTGAGCAATGAGCGTGTTCGACGTCGCGTATTTGGTGCAGGAAGAGCGAGTGAACCGCTCAGCACGATTATATCACGCACCAGGCTCCGATGGCTGGGCCACGTCTTGCGCATGCCAGCACACCGACTCCCACGACGTGCATTGTTTGCGCGTTGTGGGTGCGGTTGGAAGAGGAGGAGGGGAGGCCAAGTGATGACTTGGTCGCGAGAAATGAAAACCCTCACTTCGAAGTTGGCGTCGGTTGGTGCATCCCGACTGCCTGGCTGGGGTCCTAAGGACGGTGAACACGTTTGGCTGGACACACTTGCTGATATGGCTAGGAGCCGGCCCCAATGGCGTTTGTGTTGTGAGTTCCTTTTTCCATCCCCCTCCTGTTTAGCATCCCCCTCCAATCACGATCTCAATCGTTAGGCATAATATGACTTTCTTTTACGGCAGCCAGCTGTTAGCTCTCCGGAACGATGTCCATCCGTTACTGGGGACTCAGCGAGCGTGCCACTGTTTGTTTGTTTGTTTTTTTTCTTTTCTTGCCTTTTGTATTGCGGCACAATAGCTGAGGTGTTTTCCACCTCCAGCTAACGTGTAATGATGATGATGATGATGATGATGATGATGATGAAGTATTAGAAACCACCTCCCGCTTCTGTTACCTTGAGTGTGTGGTGTCGACTGACTAGAGGCTACACAGTAACCTCCCATCCGCTTCTCGAAGGCAGCGGTGACATTCGGGCAGCTAGAGTACCGAGTGTGGAACAACCATCAGCTTACCATTGGCACGAAGCTGATGGTGTGCAAATACATGGTGCTGTCCATTCTTCTATACGGCAGCGAAACGTGGACAATGTACCGGCGAGATGTGCGATATCTCGAGCGGTTCCACCAACTGTGTTTGCGACGGCTTCTGCGCATCGGTTGGTACGACAGAGTTGCAGACACGGACGTGTTGCGTCGAAACTGAATGTATGTAGTGAACTGCATACTTTTGCTGAGACACCTGAGGTGGCTCGGTCATGTAAGTCGTATGGATTCGACGGGGATACTGAAGCAGTTATTATATGGTTAGCTGTGTTGGGAAGCGGCATGCAAGGAAATCGAAGCTTCGTTCCCAGGACATGATTAAAGTGAGCCTCTCATGTTCTAATCTTCGTTGCAACTGAAGGGAATCGAAGTCGGTTGATCGCCGTGCATGGCGCGATCTGATCACGAATGCAGTTGACGATGTGAAGGACAAAGCCCTCATTCACGCGGAGAAGTGGCAGACTCCGATGGGTTGTATTCCGTCGACATCGAGCGCATGGTGCTGTAGCACATGCGGTCGTGAGTGCTTGAGTCAGGCAGGCCTAGTGAGCCATGAGCGGGACCACTCGAGTCCACCACCGAAACGGTGACGGTTCCTGCAGAGAACGTAGGCAGAACCGGCGCAGCGATTGTAGGCATGCTGCATTCGAAGTACTAACTGGGTGCTTGCATGCTGAGTCAATTTAGTTCACGTGGTGGGTTTGCTATATTGTTTAACAGTATTTTATCTCATATTAATGACTACCTGAACTATCATCTATTAAATTGCAAGCGTAGCTTAAGCTACTTGTAGTTAACTTCCATAGCATTTTTGCGCTTGTGGCATTTCCTCTATATATATATATATATATATATATATATATATATATATATATATATATATATATATATATATATATGCTTAGGTGCCCCATGCTGAGGCTGATGTCGCACTCATGATGCTTCTTCACCGCAGTTGGGCTAAACCAACTTACACTTAAATTAGGTCTTTTTAATGCGGATAAAATTCGTTACATTTTATTTGGATTATTCTGCGTACTTGATAATATTCTCCCAATTTACACACGCCGCTCATGCAAATTGTGGTAGCCTTGCGTAATTTTACCGCGCGTGGAATGTTTTGACTAACTTTCGGAAATTTTGTACTTATCGCGTATTCACATTTAACCACCTTCTTCCATATGCTCATTTAGCGAGTATGTATGTCGTCATATGCGTTTACTTTATTCGATATCGGCATTTTGTGTGATTGGCTGTTGTTTGACATCCCAGGTGTGGCTGCGCTTGATGTACACGTTGACAAGGTGCCTACCTGTCTATTACCCACTACCTCGTCCATACTGGCTCCAGGAGACAGTTGGCCGTTGCTGGAGGAGACAGGGTGCACGGTCTTCGTGGCCGTGTTAGGCTCGAAAAGTAGTTCCATGCACCCAGTGTGGAACGGACTACGGTCCAGCCACCGCCTTGTGTGCGCTTGATTCCCAAATACAGTGTGCTTGTGTTCGCCTGTGAAGGAGTGTGAGCCGGCTCCGTTGATGAAACGTGGCTCCCATCCGCATGCCTCCCGGTCTTATTCCTTCGGGTTTACCCTAGATAAGGGGTGTGTGAATGGAGCTGTGTGTGGTGCAGCGCAAGCCATCCATGGTCCCTCTGTAGGTGCAGGCGTCCTGTGGCTTGCCACAGTGACAGGCAAATCCGAAACCGGATGCCGCCTACCATATATAATGCCCTGTACTTTGTTGTAACAAAAGCCTCCTATAATAACGGACTCATTGATGCGAATTCCTCCCGCTGGCTGTAGTTAACGGTAAATAAGAACTAATCATTTCAGCTATGTCGCAATCGCGGTCTTTTCATCTCAAGCACGTCCGCCCGTAGCCTGAAGGTAACGAGCTTGTCTCCTATGCTTGCGGCGCTGTTTTGAGTTCGCGTAGGGATGAGCATCCTCGCGATATACTCATCCCAAGTGCGACTGGTGCTAGTAGCATGGCAGCAAAGCGTCCTTACGACGTACAGCTGACACAACTTTTCACCTCTCACGCACCGGTACACGTATTTTAACTTGTAGCTTCATTACATAATTGGAAATTCCCACTCCCTGGGGACGTAATGGTGTATTCTTGACTTGATTTGACTTAAGTGCCTGAATTATCCGGACTTCAGTGCAAAATGAGACGACACCAGGAGAACATTATCTTCTCATTGCTTTTGTTCTGCCCACTAAGATTGAACACGATAATCGATTTCGACGTTCAAACAGCTCCCTCCGCCACACATGGCGCGCATTACGGGAGGGACTGTGCAGCAACAAGCATGTCTAAAACAACAGATCGAAAAGGAGGAAGCTACCGCGCTTCGATTCTTTGTCCAAAATATAGAAAAATTAAAGGTTCCTTCGGGAGCTTCGGCGGTTTTGCGTAAAAAACTTGAACAGACCAAAGTAGACGCTGCTAGGTGCAACCGACTGGCCGAGGAGGCAGCCAAACGAGCTGAAGAAAGACGGAAAGCCGCAGCTGAAAGTGCGATCAAGGTAGCGAAATCGGAGCTCACATCTCAAGATCTTTCAGCTATGCTTGATATGCGTCCCCCATCACCAGCAACAAAAGCTTTGCTCTACAACGGCATTTCACACGATCGCCATGGCAGGTAAGTGGTTACTTTCGGCCGGGGTTTACTCCAAAGGTTCGGATACACCCGTGTAGCTTTCTGTTTTATTGCGACATTTAACAGTAAAGTATTTGCAGCGTTCATTTATCTTACACAACAACAATCAGCCTGCCATAGCTCTGAATTATGATGTACATTTTTGACGAGATACCGAGGCAAACGGGGATGGTCGTGCACATGTCACATTGACTTCCTGTGTCAAACGCTGGCTTGTGGCATCGTTCTGACAGGGGAGCGAAGTTTTGTGACAGTCCATTCATTGAAGTCCAGCACACTGTTCTGTTCTCGACATCGTAATCGCTTCTTCAGTAGTCACTCAGGTGTAGCAGGTACCACAAGTAGTATGGGGACAATTGACGGTTTTATCGCTGATGTTGAACATAGAGAATGATGGCCCTCTCCTGCCTAGCACATGATAATAGTGAATTGCTGAACTATTTTACTTTGGTTCTCCTCGCGTTTCATACGGCTTGCAAAGAACTGACAGGTGGCAGAGAAAAATATAACACCATGTCCATAAAACAATACGCCTTCCGAGATCGTCGCTCCGATACTTATTAGTGATGGCAGCAACTGTTCAGCCTAGGGCATGCTGTGGTGTGTTATCCGGAAATAAATTCATTAGTTTATCTAGGGGATTCTTTAGCTTGGACCAATGCAACGTTTTTCTGCAACTTCAGGTACCATGTTTATTACCTTAATGTGGCACAGTAACTGAGGTGTTTTCCACCTTTAGCTAAGGTATATAATGATGATGATGAGGACCTTAATGTTTGCCAACTCGATAATTACCTCTATCGATGTAACAAAGAAGCTGAACTTTAGGGCTCCTTTTTCATATTTATTCGAGTAGAGCGCGTCATCTACCTTGGATATTGGTAGGCACTATGCCATCTTGACTTGCGGAGCCCCACTGAGGACTCCGGCTTTCACCAACTGATGTTAAAAGGTGGGTTGAAGTCATGGCTATAAAGCACAACATACATTTTCAGGTATAATTTTGCGAACTGAACAAATATACTTCCCAATGATCCCCTCCACGAACATGGTTGTCTCCACATGACGTCGCAACAACGCTTCTCGCTGACTCAGCACACAGTTGTGTAGGGGTTCCGAAGGAAGTAAAGTGCAGCTTGCTTCCTTCGGAATTCTTATGTACGCAAGCGTATGGCTCCGTTAGCTGTGTTGCAAATATTCTCGAGGTTACCCCTTAGTTTGAGCCTCAGGTCAGGTGATTCAAATTCCTCCGTAACGGGCATCCCCTGCCTAGCATCACGGCATGGATCCCGGTGCTTCATTGTTTGTTTGATCGTACTTACTTCCGTAAATAGAGAGCAGCAGTACAGTTACTGTTGCCATAGAAAGTCATTCCGACCTCCTGAATGTGAAACCTTGGCCGTGTCTCTGTAGAGAATCTACTTAGCATTAAAACAGTACGCTATTTGGACGGAACCATGAGTTGCCAAAATTTTCCTCTAACGTCTACTACGATAGCCTTTTCTTTCGTGAGATAACTATCTGGTATTTTAGCTATTACCTCAGCCGCCTCTCAACTGACGGCTGCCAACAGCAACTTCACTCCAGCTTACGGTAAATGATGGAGGAGGTGCAAGCAACTTATGCCTAAGCCTCTTTTCAAGGCTTCCCCCGCGTAATCTCCTACTGATAGGGATGTTTGTTTTAAACGTATAATACACGGTCCTTGAAAGATCCTCAACTTACTATTCCATTAGCATTTCTGTTGTTTGATCGTAGATGCGCCGTGTCGGCGACCTAACATGGTCGCACCAGTAGGTCTGCTGCCATAGAGTTTGGTCAAATTATGGAACTTCCCATTTTTTACTTCTCAACCTGCGCCGTCTCCTCAAATAAAATTGTAAGCCACGACTCTATTTGTGAGTCATACCACGTTGTCCAACCATCAGTCTCGTGGTCATCATACGAATCTCATCATTTAGTAAAGCACGAAACCAAAGCCCGAACACAACATTCTAACGATAAAGTATCCAACCATTTGAACTGGGAAAAATAACCCCTTGTTTAGTGCATAACAATATGCATAAAGAGTTAGAATCCTTGGATCTCTGAGACTTGTGGTGGTGAGATTCTGACAGGTTACTGATCATATGTTGCTAATGTTCTGCCATATGCTCATGTACTGAACGTCACATGGCAGTCACTGGGTGGCAGTTGGGTTACACCCTTCTTCTAGCTAGCCGCCAGGACAAATCCGCGTGAGTCTGAGTAATGGCGCATTTCACGCCATGTGGACGCCCTGGAAGTGTATCAGCCCGACCAAAAAGCATGGATCACGCAACCACAGGCAATCTCCTGCGGCATCGACAGTCGCGCAAGGAGGGAAAAGAGTCACCTTATCCGCTGCATAAAGTGAAGTGGATGCGCAAAGATGGAACAATGGTGAAAATGGAATGAAAATAATTGCGAAAATTAAATTGCATGGTAAAGTGAAAAGCGTTTTGGTGGACTCACCATAAACTTATGTAGAATAGCAGAGATGTTCGCGTATTAAAAGTATAAATCCATAAATCCATTGGTTGGAAGTTTGGTAAGACACCGTTTGATTGCGTTTTTTAGCCCCTGGCTAACAAGTTATAAAATGAAATGCAAATGAGACAGCGCATCGTCAATTCGTTTTTTAAATATCACCAGATTATGAGCAAAGACGACATAAGTAGAGAGGGCTTTCCAAGTCTGTCACACGCGAAAAGAAATTTCTACGGCATTCAAGCCGGCTATACTGTATTTTCCATTTCAGAGGATGACTTCTTAGTTTAGTGTTGTGGTTCAGTTCCAGCAGCGGACGTCAAATGTGGTTTGGATTCTTCAGAATCTGCTAAACCATTATGAGATTCCCCCGCAAAGCCGATATCAACTGTTGTACTGTACTCAATGCTGCATCGAGTGCTGCCCACACACATGCTGCAGGCACTATGCAGGTACAGCGAAGACGCACCAACTGTCTCTTCAGCAAACTTTCAGAGATTGGCTGGGATACATTGCACTGGCTGCAATGGAAAATTATGGAGGATGATCTTACCGAAGTCCCGACACCCGATGAAACCCAAAGAGCACTTACTCAGCTGCGAAACAGCGATTGCGCATTTTCTAATGGGATCCCGCCAGTGGGGCTGAATACTGGCGGATCCGCAATTATACATGACTTACACCAATTGGTAGAGCTCCTGTGTTCTGCAGCACTAGTGTCATCTGGGCTGAAGGGTGCCCTTGTGCTACCACTGTACATGGGCAAAGAGAGTAAGCAATAAGTCACCACTAATCAGGTTTTCAACTCGCTGAGTTGCGTAGGGAACTTTATTGCTCGGATTCTGTTCAACTGCCTCGTCACTCAGGTTCTTAGACTCAAGGTGGTGGGAGGGCAAGGTAGATTCCGTTCAGGCCGCAACACTATAGCTATGGTGTTCATGGCTAGTCAGTTGCAGGAGAACCATAAATAACGACTCCAGCCATGGTAGGCGCTGTTTGTTGAGTTCACGAAGATATTTGATACGGTGAACTCCAATGCACTGTGGTTGGGTTGGGTCGGTTTGATTGTCCCAGTACTTTTGTACGTTCAATCGAATGCCTGCACAGTGGTATGCGGGTGAGTGGGCAGCTGAGTAGGCAAAGTTCGGATGAATTTGATGTCGTCTCTGGTGGAAAGCAAGGCTGCCTCTTATCCTTCATCTTGTTTAACTCACGTGTGCTTTCAATGCTTGTGAATACGGCGTCCGTCTCGAGTATCGTATCGATGGTGAATTGCTGAAGCTCCATTGTTTCGGGGCGAGAACCCCAGTGTGTGAGGCAACCATCCGTATGTTGCAGTTTACCGACCATTGTGCGTTGGTTGCACAAAGTGAGGACGATCCGCAACGTGTGACGACAGCTCTCGCTTCGACAGCAACTATTTTCCACATCATTACTGTTAAAACCTACACATGCGAAAGTAACGCTAGCCTGCGAACGCAATAATGGCTCTTAGCCGAACGACGCAAAGACAACAGAACACGTCTAGCTGGCCGCGTGCAAATGTGTATTCTGACCAGAACGGGTACAGAGCATCGATCAAGTAAGTGAAGCCAACCCCTCGTGAGTGAGTAATCGCTAGACAGACAGGCGCACACGGGTTGGAGATGTAAACGCATACGCCACGTTCATCCGCCCTTTATTAGGCACTCTCCCAGACAGCCTGGTAACGATCAACTGGATGACGGACTCTAGTCGAACGGCGTATTGGTTGAGCTTCTGACTGGCTTGTGATCTCTGTAGCCCCCGCGACCACTAGTTAGGTTGACGGACCTTTCCTGCTAACAATAGCTTGATGCTCTGGCCGTCGCATGGGATAATAAACGGCGCCCTATCTCCGGCATCGAACAGGGTGGATAGGAGTTTGGATGCTACTGCTCAGGCCTTCCCGCCTTCATATTCCCCCTCTTGTGCTTTTTATCATTAGCGTCCCGTTCCAACTTCGCTTTCATTCCCCGTTTTCCATCCCCCAATTCTTGGCCGTCCCCCTCCTTGCTTGAATAGTCACTTGTCTTCTAGTTTCAACTGGCACTTAATCGCAAGGCGTCGCTCCAATCCAGTCAACTAGTTCATGTTCAACCAAGCGGACAACGTCAGTTCATCTGTTTCCCTTTAGAGTCCTCGATCGTCGCTAAAACTGGCATGCCTCAACGAGTGCACTTTGCTACAGATTGGCCAACAGGCAGCACTTGCCCGAACACTTGAGACCCTATCGGTCGATATTTGCTGTTTATCGGAAACCGGCCCGCAAGATTCGAGCTCCGTGCTTACTCTGTGATCCCCCACATTCGACACTGGCGGCACATTCTTATTGAGCTTGTCTGGCGATAACACATCTTCAAATGCAGGTCAAGCATGCGTCGGCATTGTTTTGAGTCCCCGGGCTGAAGCTGTCCTGATCGACTGGATCCCTGTCAACAGCCGGATGTGCGCCGTTAAGTTGGCTGGCTCGTTCTAGGCTTCGAAGTCGCGCGGGGATAAACGGTGCCTGTTTGTCATTGCGACCTACGCCCCTATAAACCGTAGCCATGATTCGGTGAAAGATGATTTCTATCACCAACTTAACGGTGTTTTCGTTGCAGAAGAAGCACGGATTCTGTAATGCTTGCTGGTGATCTAAACGCGCAAGTCGGAAAATAGTCCTCTAATGAGCTTCATCTGGGCGGCCAGCATGGTGTAGGCTCCCGTAATGATAACAATGAGCGGGCGCTACACCTGTGTGAAGGTGCTTGTCTCTTTCTCGCGAGCACTAACTTTCGACATAGCATGCGCAGAAGAGTGACTTGGCGCGCACCAGTCTCTCAAATCGATCATATCGCGATCAGTTACCGCTGGAGAGGCTGTGTCCAAAACTGTCGCTCGATTTGGAGCACCAGCGTGGACTCCGATCACGCTCTCGTGTGTGCCGACCTGCGGGTGCATTTCGGCGGACTTCCGCAACGTCGCTCTAAGCGCATTGACACCAGCCAGCTGGTGAAGCCAGATGTTCTGAATACGTATCAAACTACGCTGGCATCTGGGCCGAGTAAGCGTCTACTGAACATCGCCGAAGATCACTGGTTGCATATTCGTCAACCGTTACTATCAGCAGGTATGTCTTCATGTGGCAAATCAAATTGTCAACTTAGATATCGGTTCTCTACGCAGTCTTTGGAACTTATGGATGCTCGCCGGCGTATTCCGGCCTGAAGCGAATACAATGAAACTCACAAATTTCTCAAGGCAAAGGTGTGTGCTAGCCTGAAGAGTGACGGCGAAGCCTGGTGGTCTCACTGTGCATCGGAAATGGAAACAGCCGCTGCCCTTGGTAATCATAGCAAGTTATTCCGTCTGATACGGGAAATAGGCAGCAGGAGACATGGTATAAGTGAGACCATACTCGATAACAGTGGACAACCGATCCACAGCTTGTCAAATCTCTTGGAGCTTTGGGCCGAACACTTTGCAAAGCAGTTTAAGCAAACTGAGTTATCGCTTCCTTTGTCTGGCATTGAGTGCCCTTCTCCATGGGCCATCTCCTTATATCCGCCCTCACGTACAGAAGTCGAACGTGAGATCAAACTGTTGAAATTGCATAAGGCCGCTAGTGCAGTTATAATTCCCCCAGCTCTCTACAAATTCGGGGGATCTTCTCTTGTGAATGATTTACACGAGTTGCTAAAGGAACTTTGGGAACAGGAAACTGTCCCGACAGACTGGAGCTGCTCCGTCATAGTCCCAATTTTCAAGGAGGCTCTCGTTCGGAATGTGACAACTAAAGTGGGATCAGTCTGATCTCGATTGCCTCCAAATTGCTTGCCTCTGTCGTTCTCCACAGATTGACTGGCGCTCGTGAGGGCCAGATCCGCGAAGAGCAAGCCGTGTTTCGTCGAAGTCGGAGCTGAATCACCCACATCTTCACCTTGCGTCAATTGTTGGAGCACCGCCATGTTTATTGGAGACCCACCGTTTTCGTGTTTCTCGTCATCAAAGGTGCCTTCAATTCGGTGGATCGATGTACCCTTTGGGACTGTCTACTGAGAAAAGGTGTGCCCGATCGATATGTAAACATTATCAAAACGCTGTACCCGCACAGTTCTGGTAGACTGAGGGCTTATGACAAACTGTCGCCGCCCTTCAATAACTACAGCAGTGTAAGACAAGGTTGCCCGCTGTCATCTTTCCTCTTTAACTTCACTATTGTCGAAGTCATGGAAACAGCGTTCGCTGGACACGATCTAGAAGGTGTGGAGCTACTTTCTGGTAAACAAGTTCTTGACTTGAAGTATGCGAACCACATTGCCCTCATATGTGACAGCGCCCAAACGTGCCTAGTTGCACTGGACTGATTGGCATTGGCTATCAATCGTTTTAGGTTATGCTTTGCTCCATCGAAACGCAGTTCTTCTCTAGATTGGCAAGGACCCACCCCTGCGCTGGCCCTTGGTGGTGATCAGCTAGAAGTCGTTCAGGAATTCAAGTACCTGGGCAGCTATAGTAGCGCCCGTGGGATTGAAGCTGAGATTACGAACCGTATAGCAAAAGCTCGAGGTGCTTTTGGAAATCTCTGCCACCTGTGGCGCAGACACGACATCACTCTCTCCCTGAAGGGTAGAGTACATAATGCAGCCGTCCGTTCAACCCACTTATACGGTTGTGAAACCTGGCCCATCAGGTCGACAGACATAAAGAGGCTCGTCATATTCGATCATCGCTGCCTTCGCAGCTTAGCTCATGTCTGGGGGAGCACCGCGTAAGCAATGAGTGTGTTCGGCGTCGTGTATTTGGTGCAGGAAGAGCGAGTGAACCGCTCAGCACCATTATATCACACAGCAGGCTCCGATGGCTGGGCCACCGGTTACGCATACCAGCACATTGACTCCCGCGATGTGCATTGTTTGCGCTTCCGGGGTGCGGTTGGAAGAGGAAGAGGGAGGCGAAGCGATGACTTGGTCGAGAGATGACAACCTTCACTTCGAAGTTGGCCTCGGTTGATGCATCCCGACTGCCTAGCTGGGGTTCTAAAGACGATGAATACGTTCGGTTGGACACACTTGCTGATATGGCTAGGAGCCGGCCCCAATGGCGTTTGTGTTGTGTTTCTTTGTTTATCTCGCTCCCGCTTAGTCCCCCCTCCAATCACGACCTCATTCTTTAGGCACAATATAACTCCCTTTTTGCGGCAAAATAGCCGGCTGTTAGTTCTCCGGTACTAAGTCCATCCGTTACTGGGGACTCAGCCGGCGTGCCTCCGTTGCTTTTTCTTCTTCTATCTTTTATATTGCGGCACAATAGTTGAGCTGTTTTCCACCGGCACCTAACGTGTATAATTATGATGATGATGACAGGCTTGGCAACATGCCGTCTAAGCCGGTTGAAACAGAACGACGGCGGACGTAACGCATATGACGTTAGTGCAGCCTCCGCTATCTGATCTTCAATTTCGCATAACTCTGCAGATTGCAAACTCGGTTCATGGGTTAGTTTGATGTAAACTGGCTTGTCCTCACGAACTTCTCGATCTGAAGCTGTTCGATCGTACCACTATTTTGATTGCTCTTGACGCATCTCTCCGCGTAATCGCTGGTCTGAAAAGAGTAGGTCCATGCACGTCCTGAGCCTTCGGCCGAACATTAGTTCGCCTGGACTCTCGCATGTCGTTTCACTTGGGGTGGAGCGGTAAGCGAATAGGAATGTACCCAACTTCATTCAGAGTGGAGCAGGTGATTGTTGCTGCAAGCCGTTTTTACTGTCTGCACTGCGCTTTCCGCTAATCCATTTGAGTTTTGGTGGTAAGGGACGATTTTCACATGTCTGACGACGTTGTTTTGTTGGAACTCTTGGAACTGTTGGCTAGTTAACACAGAGCCGTTATCTGTCACTAGTGTTTGCTGAACACCAAACGTGCCAAACATGTTCGCATGCAGGCAACAGTTGTCTCGGAAGTGGCGTGTGTCAGCGGAAATACTACAGTTCATTTGGAATAGGAATGGACTATGAGAAGAAATATCTTTCAATCAAGCAGACCAAAATAGTCTGTATGTATGCGCTCCCATGGCCTGTCGGGCCATTTTTATGGACTCAGTGGCTCCGGTGGAGCGTTACTTTGTGTATTTTGACATGATTCACAGTGTCTAATTAATCTTTCTATGTCGCTATCAATGCCGGCCACCAGATACAATATCGCGACAGTCTTGTTCATTCTGGGTGAGCTTTGTGCAATTCCTCCAGCACATAGTATCGTAACCGAGGCGGTATAATAGCTCTGGACCCCATAAGAAGCAGTCATCTTCAGGACTTAGTTTGTTACTCCGAATGAATTAAGGCAACAATTCCGCGTCACATTTATCGGGTCAGCCTTGGCAGACCAATGGTTGCATACGGGGAGATGACATCTGGTTGATGCCTTTAGTTTCACCAATGAAGGCCAATAAAGCTTTATAATCAGTAAAGATTTTGAAACTTCTTCCCCAAAGATACGGGTGAAATATTTTGGACATCGAATATAACCGCCAACGCCTCTTTATATATTTGTGCGTAGTTCTTCTCTGCGGGTGCTAAACTTCTAGAGGCAAAAACAATGGGTCTCTCCATCTGATCATCCGTCTTGTGGGACAGTACGGCGCCGAACCCTGATGCTGTGGCGTCATATCGGAGAGTGATGGGCCTCCTCGGATCAAAGTGTACTAGCAGATTAGCCTTATCTATGGTTGCCTTGACGGCATCGAAAGACTTTTGTTCGTTAGCTGACCATTGCCATAGTAATTTTTCGTACTAAAGCGTACAGGGATACGAGGGTGTTGGCCAAATCAGGTAGAAAAGGACCATGGTTTGTTACCATACATAGAAATAGTTGTAGCTCACTAACGTTGTATGGTCACTGTATGGACACTGTCTACGAAATATACACACGAGGATTCTTCCGCTTGAGTCCACTGTCTTGAAGACGTTTCAAGAAACTCGTGCTCAGTTCTGGTAAATTAGAATGTCATCTTGATAAGCGTATACGCCATTGAAATATTGCCGGTGTATAATCTATTCCAAATTGAAGTCCGTTACAGTGAAGCAAACCCATGTGCGTATTGATGGTTGTTATCTTCCCATTGTGCCCCATGTTGAGGATGATGTTACATTCATGATGATTCCCCACGGCAGTGTATGGAGGTATTCCGCCCACATGTGACATGGTACTATGTGAAAGTAACTATGATATGAACTCAACAGAATTCTCTCTTATCCGTACAGTGTTTGGTGGAGGGTAAGCTACACGATGTGGAAACACTGTTGAGCGGTAAACGCGCGCAATATGATCGACCTTGGCGAATTTGTGGCAAGTGGAATTTTTGTGTCGACAATTAGTTACTCTCATATCTTCCGCCACACCTGTAGCACATAAAAGAGTGTTTGTTGTTCAGTGGCACTCGAGGTTTGACCACATAGATTGCATCTGAAGGATGATCATGTTGGTAGTGAATTAATTGTTGAATCATATTTTCTTTTTATCTCACTAATGTGCATGCGGCTTCCCAAGTAGGCTTGCTCGCATCTTCCGAAAGTAGGCGTTCTCGGACTTTGTTGTCACGAATGCTAACTAAAAGACACTGGATAATCATGACCTCTGCAAATTTCGTGGACGGTATCTCATTATCAGGCAGGGACTGTTGTACGAGCGTTAGAAATTCTTTACCATCTGCTTCATCTCCCTGCCGTAGTTGGGAAAAATTTAGTCGTGCAGTAAACACATGTTGTTGTAAGCCCCAAAGGCAACCCATATATTTCAGACAATGTGATAAGGAAGTGCTTTCATACAATCGGAGCGCATCGAAATGCCTCTGACCCTCTGTACCCAGGTGTTATCTCAGCAGTTTAACAGGTTGTTGTAAAGTAATAGCGTTATGAGGAGTTGTAATTCTGAAGAGTTCAATGGTAGTCATATAATGTTCTCTTCCACTGAGTCCAAAATGCCAGTGAGAGCTTAGAAGCCGCTTCTTTCCAAAACGGATCCGGTGGAATGAGTTGACTCATAACGAATAATTCCAGATATAGAAGCCGTCGCCAATGTTAAAGTCTACACATGCGGAAGTAAGGCTAGCCTGCGAACGCAATAACTGCTCTTGGCCGAACGACGCAAGGACAACAGAACCCGTCTTGCTTCCCGCTTGCAAATGTGTATTCTGACGAGAACGGCTATAGAGCGTCGATTAATTAACTGAAGCCAACCACTGGTGAGTGAGTAATCGCTAGTCAGACAAGCGAACGTTGTCGTTGCTGGCGTGAACGCGGATTGAAGATAATAAATCTTACGTCCCCAAGGAGATTTTTGCTTCAGTGAAGCGGCGCCTGAGACCCGCAAGTGACGTAGTTGTGTTAGAGGGCACTGACGGACAGCCTCTGACCTCCAGCATGAACTTACGTCCGCATTGGCGGAGCACTTCGCTTCTGTATTTACAATTGGTCATGCGCCTATGTCGTGATAGACGTGTGCAGCCCCTACTGAACTCGAGGGCATTGATTGCGGTGTAGAAGATATCCGTAGTCTACTCACCAGTCTTGATGGCACAAAACCTACCGGACCCGATAGATTTCACCCGCTCGTTTTGGAGTCGTTATCCGCCATCATCTCGCCTGCCGTGACGGATCTATTCAACAGATAGCTGTCCGAGGGTGCATCGCTGAGCGACTGGAAATGCTCGGTAATGAAGCCGATTCCAAAAGTCGGTGACCCACGCAATGTGGACAATTACCGGCTGATTTGTTTCGCCTCTGTTTTGACTAAGGTGTTCAAGAAGATTGTAAATAAAGGACTTCTTCAACTGCTGGAGTCGAAAGATCTCCTAACGCCGGCACAGCAAGACTTCATGAAGGGCCGCTCGTGCACCACCAACCTACTGTTGACGCGGCAGGAATGTTTGCAAGCGTTGAATCGGGGGAAGTCAGTGGATGTTATCTACATTAATTTAAGTAAAGCTTTCGAGAAAGTTAGCCATGAGCTCCTGCTCCACAAGCTGAGGTTGTGTGGTGTTGGTGGAGCATTGCAACAGTGGATCAGTGGCTTCCTTATTGGGAGATGGCGGGTTCAGGTGGATGACCACCTAACGGAATGGTACCCGTCCATTAGCGGCGTACTACAAAAGGCACAGTACTGGGGCCCATTTTATTCCTGATCCACATTAACGAAGTATCTCGACTTCTTCGGTTACCCTGGGTATTATTTGTGGATAACCAGAAGATTTGGAGGATTTTTGATTCTCCCGGCAACAGTGACGTCGTTCAGCAGGACCTCGACCGACAATCCCGGTGGTCTGCAGAAGTTTACCTACCGTTCAACACAGCCAACTCTTCCTTTATGAGCTTGGGGAGGGCTAGTAATGGGCGTGGGTACACGATGACTGTCACCCGCTGCATCCCATCAGTTCCGTAACGGGCCTAGGCGTACTCTCACGCTGTGATCTGAAGTCTGTCGACAACACGTACAGACTGTACGCAAACGGACTACGCCTGCTTTGGGCACTTAGACGCAGCTTCTGCACCTGGTCTGAAGAGATTTTCACCCGTCTGTTCTCTTCCATAATAAGGCCGATATTTGAGTACGGCTCACTCGCCTATTGCTCGATCACAATAGGTGAGGTGCAGAGACTGAAAAGGGTCCAGCATGTAGTTACCAGACTCCCGCCCCGTTTATGGGGTGTCTTACGAGGACCGATGTAAAAAAACAGGGGTTTTATATCCTGTCATATGGTCGGCTTCGAGTTGATCTCATTATGACGTACCGGATACTACATCTGGGCTCCTTCCTTATGTTGAGGCCGCTGCTGCACGTTCGCGCACCAAGAAACACACACGGGCACCGGTACAAACTAGTGGTACAGGACTTAAAGCGCCTCTCTCACCCTCTATACTCTGAGAGTCGAATGGTGGAATATTGGAACGAACTGCCGGAGACGCTAATCGAGGCGAAATCGGTCTCGGAATTTAACAGATTCCTTGACGCTTACTTTGCGGACTATAGGTATAGGGAACGTATCGTACCCGGATAAGATGTAATGCAGCTGCACTAAGCTGTCACCGCGCAGGAATCAGCGACTTGATTTCGCGCATGCGTCCGATCCACTCACGATGGAACAACACAGCTTGCTATGTTTTCGCTCTCTATGCTCAGTATTCTGTATTCAACAGCAGTACTCCAGCCATTTGAACTGATGCTTCGCTGCCGTACAACCACGCTGGCCTACGGAACGAAGAACAATAAGTGGAAGAGCAGCGGGATCTGGCGTAAGACCTTAACACCCTAAACAAACACTATGGTTCAAGGCGCCTGCACCTAGTCAGCAACATGCCTACAAAAACAGCTGGCTATTGTGCAAAGATAAAGCGGCATCGGCGAGACAACTTCCTAGCAGTTTTCGTTGCTCCGCGTCACAATCAACCATTGCACGCAGATAACTCACCACCAAGTTCAGAATCACCAACAACAAAAGCAAGACTACAAAAGTGTAGTAGGGGTAGTCCATTGGTAGAGATAGAAATTCATCACATTCAGGCCTAGTCAGCCAGTCAGAATATGCCCGGAAAAGCACAGTACAGTCGTTTCATCCGTTCGGGAATCGTATTCAAGACTGTTTGACTTTTTCAGAGGTCCCCATGAATGGGATCAAGATTGCATACGCAGTTTTAGAGACGTCACCAAAATTTTGCTAGCTTTGGATCATATATATATATATATATATATATATATATATATATATGCATGCAGTGTGACCGTGAAACGTGGTGTTCTCATCGTGCCTCAGAGATGGAAGTGGCCGCTGCCACTCGAAGTGCAAAGCTTTCCTTCAAGATTGGCAGGGATCACCTCCTTCACTGGCCCTTGGGGTGGGGGGAGGGCTCAGCTATAAGTCGTTCAGAATTCAACTATCTAGGTAGTTGTATCTGCGCCGTTGGATTGAAAACGACGTCACAAACCGTATAGAAAAAGCTCGTAGTGCTTTTGCCATCTCAGCCACCTGTGACACCAACGCGACATCACTCTATCCTTGAAGGGTAGAGTGTACAATGCAGCCGTCCGTTCAACCCTCTTATACGGTTGTGAAACCTGGCCCATCAGGTCGACAGACATAAAAGGCTTGTCGCGTTCGATCATCGGTGCCTTCACAGTTTGGCTCATATCTGGTGGGAACACCGTGTGAGCAATGAGCGTGTTCTACGCCTTGTTTACGGCCCAGGGAGAAGAAGCGCACCGCTCAGCACCATTATTTCACGCACCAGGCTCCCACGGATGTGCAACATGTTGCGTATGCCAGCCCATCGACTTCCGAGATGTGCATTGTTTGCGCGCCGTTGATGCGGATGGAAGAAAAAGTGAGGTGGCCAAGCGATGTCTTGGTCTAGAGAAATAAAGACCCTTACTTCGAAGTTCTCCTGGATTGGAGCTTCTCGGCTCCTTGGTTGGAAACTGAAGGATGAGGAAAACGTTTGGTTGGATTCACTCGTTGAATTCGCTAGGAGCAGATTTCAATGGCGTTGGTGACGTGAGTTTTGTCCCTCCCCTCCGCTTAGCCTACCCCTCCAAAAACGATCACTATTAACAGGCATTATATTACTTTTGGCGGAACAATGCTCGGCTGCTTGCTCTCCGGAACGATGTCTATCCGTTACTGGTGACTCAGCCGTCGTGCCTCTGTCTCACATTTTTCGTTTGTATTGCGGCATCATAGCTGAGGTATTTTCCACCTTCAGCTAGCGTGTCTAATGAATGAATGAAGGAGTGAATATGAATATATATATATATATATATAATGTTTATTCCTCGACGATGCGAGAAGCTGTTTCCTAGAATGAACAGATCAAATAATATTACAACCTTGCTATGACATTGTACTAATACTTTTCAGAAATAACCATAAGTGCAATTTCAAATTAGGTAGCACAAAGTAATCAGAATCTTTCTGCTATTTTTTCCTGCCATTAAACCAGGATTCTTCACAATCACATGACAAATATTGGGGCCGAGACGAAATGAAAATGAAATGAAAGGGACTGTTGTCCGAAATGTTATGTGTATGTGTTTCGAAAATTTATTCAGGCACCATCGATACCGTTTTTGAAAGCGTTATCTAAGGACTGTGATGTCCCGAACATATTAATCACGTTTTGGACGGTTAACTGCTACTACTCGCAAGCGTAAAATTGTAAAGTGTATAGCATTTTTCTGATATCACTTGGAAGTTGGTCCCAAATCTTGGAGTTGTGCGTTAGAAAGTAACGTTCTCTGATTGTTGTAGTAAATTTTGGAATCATTACATTTTCCTCTTTGTTACGGATTGGATACCTGTTGTTTACAGATACATGAACACCGTTATCAAGCTTGCAAACTCGACGGTTTACGATGCTGTAAAGAAAACATAACTTCAGCTTCATTCTTTGGAGTAAAACTTGGTCAAATCCAAGTTTATCACATCGTTCTGCGTATGTCATCTTTGTGGAATATCCACATGGTTTTTTCGTGAAGCGTCTCTGGATCCTCTCAAGAGCGTGCTGGCCAGATTTCCGTATATTAGACTGTACCATTGAACAGTATTCCAAACACGGCAATACATATGTTTTTTAAAGCGATATGCGAGATTCCGTGAAGTAAAAATGATGGCAGATGTAACCGATGGTCTTCATGGCTTTCGAAACTTTAAGGTCACAATGTTCAGAAAAGTTAAACGTGACTGAATATCGAAAGCCAAATTAGCGAACTACCCTGCATTAGGAGATATATGCGCCTTGTAGTAATAAAATCTGGCGGTACTTGGCATCTACGACAAAATATTATATTTGTCCACGGCAAAGGATATCTGGCACAGTTGGCACCAGGAATCAACGGCAGATAGGTCTTCCTGAGTGAGACCTACCTCTTCTTGGCTATTTGAATGTGGCTGTGAGTAGACAACTTTAATGTCATCAGCAAAGATAAATCTAACAACATTTCGTATTCTCTGGAATATATCGTTTATATATATTAGAAAAAGAAGAGGACCACGAACACTTCCTTGAATTACTCCACTGGTGATTGCTATCGGTTTAGAGAAATGGTCGCCTATGCGCACCTCATGCTGTCTACCAATTAGAAATGAAGACAGTCAAAAAAACATCGGTTCTCCAATGCCTATAGCCTTCAGTTTGTTCACTAAGCTTTTGTGAGGCACTCTATCAAAGGGTTTTTGCATATCCAGAAACAGGATTACAACACGGTTTCCGTTGTCCATGGCAGTCGTTGTGTGGGTTACAAAATCTGTCTGGCATGTTGCGCAGGATCGACCTTGCATGAAGCGGTGTTGCGAATTGCTGATGATGTTAGTCTTGTTCAAGAATACAAATAGTTCAGCTTTCATTATCCTTTCCATTATTCTAGATACGATGGATGTGTGATTGATGGGACGAAAGTTTTAACCTCGTGGGCAGCGCATTTTTATGCCGCGGGATAACGACAAAAGTTTTCTATTGCGTAGGGTATACTCCGTTGTTAAAAGAGAGGGTAAAGATGTTGAGCAAAAGCAGAAGGAAGTCACTACCACTGCTTTTTTTAGACAAGGGGGCTCGCTTTAGAGCCTGCACATGTTGAGGTGCAGAAGCGAGAGACTTGACCAGTGCTTTTCGCTATAGTGAATTCCACTGTGCATAGATTCCATGGTTGTGTGGCATGCTAAGTGCTGGTGTGTCTGATGATTCATTGAACACTGATTCGCCAAAAAAAGCACTGAAAGCTTCGCAGATATCATATGGTGCCTCGTAGTACGTTCCATCAGGCGTGCTGATAAAATCGAAATTGTTGCTACAACGCAAACCCCGGGCACGGGATAGTTTGGCTAGCTCAGTTGTTTTGCTAGGCCCGTGCAGAGTTGTATACTCTTCTAGAATGAGAGTTTTGTCATTTTGATGGCTCTGTTCTTCGACGAGCTTGGACTGATGTAATAATAGCGCAAAGTAAGCAGTTAACCTGAATTTATGTCGTATCTTATGAAGCTTTCCTGCTACCTTCAACGACTTGCGTTCGAATTTATGTTTAGTTTGGTAAGCACATTTTAGTGATTCTGCTGAATCGATGCAGAAGCCAAGTATACTATAGAACTGTTCCGTCGCATGTTGAAGACATGAAGAGGGAAAGAAGTTATCCCAATTCATCGAACGAACCAGGTCCTTTAAAGAGTTCCAGTTGTCGGAACTGAACAAACGATAATGCGTTGTGTCCTGTACATCAGCCATGCGTAGTCTTAGGCGGCATTTGATTACGCGATGATCGCTCCCAGGAAATTCATCAAGAACGTTAACACTGATTGCAAGTATGCCTAATGCAAAAATGTGATCCAAAGTACTTTCACTTCTGGTAAGTTGAGAGACGTATTGCTGCCAGTCATTCATTTGGATACAGGCGATCAGATTTTGTCATTTCAAAGGAGCGGTTCCCATGGGCCATGAAATCGAAGGCAGATTGAAATCACCTCCAATAATCTTATGTGTAAATGCTAGGCTAGCGGCGCATTTAAATGCAAGCGTCAAAAGTTCTAGGTCTTCTTGACTGCAGTCTGGCGCGCTGTATACACATCCCATAAGCAGCTGCTGCTGATTAACAGATATTGTAAGCCATAGTGATTCCCGGACATTGTTCAGCGCTGGGTTCTCGAAGGTCGCTGCTGCGAACGATTTTTCGGATAAATTACACAGCCACCACCTAGACATCTAGGCCGATTTCTCATAAACTTGTCGTATGCGAAAATAGTTAACTGATTGTCAGACATCTCATCATGACACCAAGATTCAGTAATAAATATTATATCAAGATTCTTCACCAAAACAAACGAGCTTAGTGTGTGGATCTTAGAGTGAAGAGAAGGAATGTGTGTCAAAAGCAGTGTGATAGATGTGAGATATAAGGAAGATGGTTTAAGTTGTGCTATAAACACTGGGATTTCAAGCCGTGTGCCTGGACCCAGGTTAGAAATTGTTGAAAAAGTGCGTGTATTATCAAGGGTGGAAAATGATTTGGATTTGGTCACAGCGGAGGGGGTTGCGACTGAGTATGGCCCTCTAGAAAATGTTTGGAGGAAAAGAGTCCATGTTTGTTGTAACAGCTTGTGGGAGCTGGAGAGTTAGGTTGTGTCATCTGCATCATGTCACTAATAGGCTTTTGATTACGTAACGCATTGATAAGAGACAGTGGGTTTCTGTCATTTCCATCCATGGGTAAAATCCGCTTACTTGCGCTCGATATACAAGGCTTCACTATACGCGGTGGAGGCACACTGGTGTCAATCCATACATCACCATCAGCATAATCCGTGTGGTTCGTTAATGTAATCGGAAAGTCGTGATACTTAATTACACCGTGTATAAGGTGCAAAGATGGTGGCACATCTTCCATAAATTTATGACCGATGGATGTACGTCTACCCAAACAAAAGGACGCTACAGAGTCGCCCAATGACACTTGCGACAACTGTAGGTCAACCGTCCTTTTACTATCGATCAATTTGACCAGATCCACCGATATTCTCGATGAGCTTGGACACTGGCCAGAGCAGACTTTAGGCGGGAAATGACCGTTCGAGGTTTGAGGTGGCGGTTTTACATGCAACTGGGATTTAGCAGGTAATGCAGTTGTTATTCGCTAATCCACATTGTTGTCACTTCACATCCAGGAAACAGCATTTGGAAACCCTATATGACTGCCAGAACTGATTATGCAAGAGGAAACACCATCCACAGCACTGGTTTTGTGGATTATATTCCTTTTGGGCTTGGTCGGCTTAGCTGGACTAGCCTGAAACTGCGGCCCAGTGGTGGTCCTCCAGTACCCAGTTTTGCATCTGACGTTGATCTTAACTCCGAAGTGCGAGAATTAGGTGTTCTACCGCACACAGCATCTAATGCAATAAAGTGGCCAGCATATTCATGTGATCCCTCGTTAATTTCAAAAATCACTTGATCATTCACCGCTTCGCCTCTAGTTGCAGCATGCGGAGTATTATTCTCACATTTGGTGACCACTAAGTGCAGCAATATCAACTAGATGTGGGACGCCAGATGGCTATTTGGTATTCTGCTTTACCTCAGACTTTCGCCTCCTTATCTCTCGTTATAACGGAGTTTTATCCTCCATAATGTTCAGACGTTGGAAAGTCGTATTAAGCACAATGAGATTGCGCTTTTGAATGAATTGTTTAGCATTAAGTTTATTTTGAAAGTATGGGTCACACGTAACGCATTGCGTTTTTGCGTAGTCTGATGCAGCTGGACCAACGTGATTGCATACCGCATGCAGTGAGAAGCACTTTCTGAACAGTTTTTAATGGTAACTTGTTTGGCACGTTACAAACCACCGCATTGCCTGAACAGCGTACTCGATTGTGTACTTCGGTCGAAATGGAGTCTATCAGTACACTGCACTTCATGAGATTCATTTTAGCAATATTTGGGGGCGATCCAAATAAGACAGCTAGACTCTACAAATGTTGCAATCTCGATGTGAACATGTCGACTTTTAATGCAACTTCAGCGTATGGAGTTTCAGCTACGGATGGACAATTTTCAGGTGTCTTTCTCAGGTCAGCGTGTAGTCCACGGGAATTTCCCACAGCGCCTACACTGCTTTGGGTATTTTCTTTACTACTGCTTCCAACCAATGTGCGGAGTACGTTAGTTCGTTGTCTCAGCTTTTGAACTAAAATGGAAGCATCCTGGCCCATAATACTTTTTTTCCTCATCGAGCGTGTCCTTACTGTAGACATGATAATGAAACCGAAGTAAGATACACTGAAGCAAAATCAGAGGAGTTAAGACAATGGGTGCTAGCTTCTGATTTTTAACTGAAAATCCACGTCTAATATAATGCTGGTAAGAATGGCAATTCCGGGAAACTGGACGATTTAGTTAGGAACAAATAGAAAGCACCGCGGACGGGACCCATGGGCATACCGACTATGATAATGCTTGTATACTTAGCGAACAGTATACTGGTGTCTTTTCTCATGAGGCCTCCGTACTTTAGGTTGATCTGGTCACAAAAGTCCCGGAGGATGTTTGCCTAACTGAAATCAGCATAAAGGAGACACCAGTCTTCGGGCTATTGCAAGGGCTAAATCCTTCTAAAGCTTCTGACCCTGATTCAATTCATCCAAAGCTGATGCAAGAATTGACCGCTGAGCTAAGTGGGCATCTGACACGCATGTTTACAATATCGCTCGACAGCTGTGTCTTACCTTCGGAATGGAAGAACGCAATCATCCGTCCGATTTTTAAGGGCGGTGACAGAGCTCTGCCCGCGAACTACCGGCCTGTCAGCTTAACAAGCGTAATAGTTAAGTTGTTTGAAAAATTGGTCAGGGATTCGGTGGAGAATCACCTGATTAACTTTAACCTTCTCAGTGCGGCACAGCACGGATTCCGTAAGGGATTTTCATGTCTGACAAATTTACTTGTAACTCGTGAAAGCTGGGCTGAGGCAGTAGACAACGGTCACGCTATCGACGTGCTTTTCGTTGACTTCTCGTAAGCCTTTGATACTGTCCCACATCAACGACTCTCATTGAAG